AAAAAAAAAAAAAAAAGAAAACCTTATTGAAAAGAAATGATCAAATATTATGAAGTGAACTAGAGTGAGGCTAGCAAAAGGCCGACAGATTGTATCATTTGAAGTTCCCTGCTGACTTTTGCTTAACTTACTTTTCTATAGAATGGTAGAAACAAACCAATTCAATCAATAAACACCTAGTGAGCATCTATTATGTTAAAATGCAACCTTCACTTTATGCATATTCCCTGCAATGGACTTTCAAAGAGAAAGTAGCTGAATGTATAAAGTTTAAAGGTTTTTAAAAATACAGTATTTGAGATTTACACAGGTATACAGAGGGCTTTGAGATTGTTAAAATGTAAAGATTTTCTTTTATTTTTGAGATGAGATCTTGCATATGGTCCAATTTTTTTTCTTTTTTCTTTTCTTTTTTCTTATTTGAGATGGAGTCTTGCTCTACCACCCAGGCTAGGAGTGCAATGGCATGATCTCGGCTCACTGCAACCTCCACCTCCCGGGTTCAAGCAATTCTCCTGCCTCAGCCTCCCAAGTAGCTGGGATTTCAGGCACCTGCCATCATGCTGGGTTAATTTCTTTGTATTTTTGTAGAGATGGGGTTTCACCATGCTGGTCAGGCTGGTCTCGAACTCCTAACCTCAGGTGATCCACCCGCCTCGGCTTCCCAAAGTGCTGGGATTATAGGCATGAGCCACCCCGCCTGGCCCCAATTTTCTTTCTAAAAGGAAATATTGTTGACCCAATTATTCACATCATCATAACAATTTTTTCTCAAAATGAGTTTTGTGGCTAGGTGTGGTGGCTCATGCCTATAATCCCTGAACTTTGGGAGGCTGAGAAAGGAGGATCACTTAAGGCCAAGAGTTTGAGATCAGCCTGGGCAACATAGTAATACCCTGTCTCTGCAAAACATTTAAAAATTAGCCAGGTATGGGGTGGTATGTTTTTGCAGTCCTAGCTACTTTGGAGGTAGAGGAGGGAGAATCACTTGAGCCTAGGAGGTTGAGGCTGCATTAAGCTTTGATCATGCCACTACCCTCTAGCCTGGGCAACAGAGTGAGATTCTGTCTCAAAACAAACAAATTTTTGCTTGTTTAATGTGTTGTCACAAAACATTTAGGATAGTTGAGTAATCCCTGGGTCTTTTCCACACATGAAAATTGTTTATTGTCTTAGAAAATAAAATCTATGGAGTTATTGTTTTCTATACAGTTATTTTAAATGAAATGAGAATTTGCTAAAAAGTCTACTACTTATCATACTTTGCTTCCATCTAATGAAATAATTTCCTACCATGGATCACAATGTGACATGACACAATACATATCTAGTTTCATTACCTGTGTTCAGTATTGCTGGAGTTCTGTTCTGAGCTTCTTGATTTTTTCTTCCTTTTTTTATTTCTTAGCTTGAGGTTAGGATCCGGCTCTGAATTCTTCATTTCTCTGCAATGATCACCAAGATAAATATTCACTTAATAATGTATTTTCAGGAAATATCTAAACAATATTACATATGAAATATATTGAGCATTTTTTGCTCCTTGAATTTTCACACCCTTGTTCATTGACTATTTTCATGACAATTAAGTACTCATGTGGGGGTAGGGATAGTGCTGGTGGTAGAAGTGGCATAATGAAGAAACAGATCCCCAACTAAAGCCAAACCATTGTGTTTTCATTCCTAGAAAAAAAAAATCAGCCTGGGTAACATGGTGAAAACCTGCCTCTACAAATAATTTTAAAAAAGAAGAGAAAAGAAAAAAAATTTGCCAGGCATGGTGGTGTGCACCTGTGGTCCCAGCTACTAGGGAGGCTAAGGTGGGAGGATCCCTTGAGCCTTTGGCCGCGGGTGGGGGGCGGTAGGGGCGCGTTGAGGCTGCAGTGAGGCAAGATCATGCCACTGCACTCGAGCCTGGAAGACAGAGTGAGACCCTGCCACAAAAAAAAAGAAAAACATGGTAGACAAATTTATTTTCATTTATCATGGACATTTTAACTGTTTTGTGTTGAAATTCAGATCTTAGAGATAAACAATTTTTTTTTTGAGATGGAGTTTCACTCTTGTTGTCCAGGCTGGAGTGCAATGGTGCAATCTCGGCTCACTACAACCTCTGCCTCCTGAATTCAAGCAATTCTCCTGCCTCAGCCTCCCTAGTAGCTGGGATTACAGGCACCCGCTACCATGCCCAGCTAATTTTTTTTTTTGTATTTTTTGTAGAGATGGGGTTTCACTGTGTTGGCCAGGCTGGTCTCAAACTCCTGACCTCAGGAGATCCACCCACCTCAGCCTCCCAAAGTGCTGGGATTACAGGTGTGAGCCACCATGCTTGACCGGAATAAACATGTGTGTGTGTGTATATATATATATGTGTGTGTGTGTGTGTGTGTGTGTGTGTGTGTGTGTTTTATACCATACATACACAAAGTCCTGGAAACAACCCAAATGCCCAGGAACTGATGAATGGATTAGAAAACTGTCACACATCCATACAATATAACATTTATCAACAACAAAAATGAACCACTGATACGTGCAACCACATGGATGAGTCTCAGAAGCATGGTGCTGAGTGAAAGAAGCCAGAAACAAATGGATCGTTATCCTATGATCCCAAGTATATGATACTATTAAAAATATAACACTATATGCATAGAAATTAGATCAGTGGTTGCTAGGCTGGAAGTAGGTTGAAGGCATTGAAATACAAAGAAACCCAAGGGAACTTTCTGGGGTCATAGAAAGATTCCGTATCTTGACTGTGATAGTAGATAAATGACTATATGTATTTGTCAAAATTCATACAACTTTTTACACGTTGAAAGTAAATTTAACAATAGGTAAATTATACCTCAACAGAAATAAAAGCATATGTTCATACAACATATGTTCCCACAAGGTACCTAGCAGCTTTATTTGTAATGGCCAAAACCTGGAAATACCTCAAATGTCCGTTGACAGGAAAACAGACAAACTGTGGCCCGTCTGTATAATGGAACACGAGTCACAACAAAAGAAATGAATCACTGATGCACTGATGGATGAAAACCAGAATATTCCAAGTGAAACAAGCCAGACAAAAAAAGAGAATGCACTCTGTATCGTTCCATTTATTTAAAATTCCAAAAACCTATTAAATTTATTATAGTGATATACAGCAAATCAATGACTGCCAGGGGATGGCAGGGCAGGGAATGATATGAGGGGAGGATTACAAAGGGGAAAGAGTAGTTTCTGAGGTGTTGGATATTCTTAGTATCTTGACATAGTGACAGTATCATGGATGTATACATACATCAAAATGTATCAAATGACACACTTCATTCTATTATTTATAAATTTCTTTTTATAGAGTTACTTATAAATAACTTCATTGTATTTTACAGTATGTATGGTTATAACATAAAAATACATATTTATATTATTTTATTTAGAGACAGGGTTTTGCCATGTTGTTCAGGCTGGTCTGTAACTCCTGGGCTAGAGTGATCCACCCACCTCAGCCTCTCAAAGTGCTGGGATTACAGGCATGATCTACTGTGCCCAGTCCAATATGTTTCTTGAACTACTTCTCAACTGACAGATATTTCACTTGTTTACAGTGCTTCACCATAATTCTACAAAAAAATATCCTGTTCTTATGATTTGGGTCCAGAAATATAAAGTACTGCATAACTGAAACAATACAATATTAAAAATTACTCTTACAAAAAATATTACTCTTAAAAAAGAGAAAGAATAAAGTATGTGGTAAGAGTAGGTTATCAAGTAAAACAATAAGCCGGGCGTGGTGGCTCACGTCTGTAATCCTAGCACTTTGGGAGGCTGAGGTGGGTGGATCACCTGAAGTGGGGAGTTCGAGACCAGCCTGACCAACATGAAGAAACCCCATCTCTACCAAAAATGCAAAATAAGCTGAGCGTGGTGGTGCATGCCTGTAATCCCAGCTACTTGGGAGGCTGAGGCAAGAGAATCACTTGAACC